TGTTTTGGAGTATCTGCTTACTTAAAAGCAGATGTTGTTTAAGAAGTACGTTGCTAAGTGTGATCAGTATTGAGGGTGAGCTTTGGAAAAGGCAGCTGCCTTCTCTTCTTTACCAGGAGGGATGACTCTCCCTGGGGCTCCCAGGGCCCTGTGGGCTGTGTCTCTGTCCTTGGATTCCTATGTCTTCCTTGAGAATTGGTTGACCTAGCTAAGACTCGACAATGTATGTATGTGCACGGGAAGGGGTCCATGGAGAGAGGCAGCACTCGAGGAAGAGAGAAGTTCATCGCCTCGCCTCCCTGCCTCCCCTGCAGGGCCACTCCTGGCTAGAATGACGAGGGGTTTGGTGGGAAACAAGGTGGATGGTTTGTAATGACTGGGGCATCTCCTCCTTGGCACTGCACTGCATTTTCAGTTGGGAGGTAGGAGCAAGGCTTCCTTATTCTCTTCAACCTCAGGCCAGCCCTCGTTGAGCAACTGACGGTTCCCAGGAGATGAGGACAGCCCTCTCTTCTCTTCCTGCCATCACTTTGCCCCATTCTCTTCCTATCACTTATCCCTCTCTCTGGAAATCACTGTTTTTTGCTTCTATGTTAATTATCTGCCTCCTCCTAGAGTAGAAAGTAAAACCCATGAGGGCAGGACCATGTGGCCAACATGACAGGAGTTCAAGTCTTGGCATGAGCAGATGAATGGCAAGTTCTGGCAAGCCACAAAGAATCGCTTCTCTTCCAACTGCATCTGTGAGTAGTGTCTTCTGAAGGGACTCATGCAGTGAAAGAAGAATGACCACAGTGCCCTTCCCCACTGTGATGTGTTGGGGTGACTCATTGGAGACAGGGCGGGGGGAAGACACCTCAAGGGAGTGCTGACACTCACTCATGCTGGGACCTCCCTGTTGAGACAAGATGATGGTGTCACAATATGGACAAAGAAAGGTATGTACTGATGCCATGCACTGAGATGAAAGTCATGGGAAGACCCAGCCAGACCTGACAGGGCTGCAGGTCCCAGCCCTGGCTCCTCGTCTTATCACCCAAGAGACTGGGGTCAGCCCAGCTTCCTGAGCTGCTGATGATACTGGACCGTGTGGGAGAAGAAGCAAAAAAAGGTGGAGTAACTCCATGGGCAGTAAGAGTCACATGGAGACCTTACAAGGCAAAAGGGTCAATTCTCCATTATGTGCTTTTCTTAATATGACAAATGGGAATGGACATCCTCACACAAAATTCCTGAAGACTAAAGCCTATACAGAAGATTCTGCCTGATGCTGAAATGTGGCTGAGAAAGAGCAATGTATCTGAGAAGGAAGAGTGCTCAAAGATGTCAAGGTCACAGGGGTAACTACTGAATTCCTAGGGGTCAAATTCAGAGTTGGTGGGATTTGCTGGTAAGTCCAGGTTTCTGAGTTTCAAATGCTCCATGAAGGACTGAGATAAACATCTACATGGAGGGCTGAGATAAACATCTAGTCAAATGCAGCATGAGATGTCCACCCAAACTCAGGATGGGGAAGGACCGGAAATACTTGGGAGAAACCAAGGCTTCCTAAGAGGTGTTTACTTCCCACACAGGAAGGACACTGACTGTGGAGACTAACAGCCCTCCAACATGCCCGAGGGGTCCCCACACTTCCACACTGAGTGTGAGCAGGCTGCAACCGAGGAGGAAGATGCAGGGGGCACACGGCCTGGCTTTGCCCTGGATGCTGCTGGAATCCGAGCCCAGTGGGGAATGACCAGGAAGACTTCCCGGCCGAGCCTGGAGCCCCTTCCCCTAGGCACTCAGAACTTGTCAACAAAGTAATTACACCCATTATTTCAACCAGATAAAAATGACAAATGCACAAAGATTAGAAGTAATTAAGCCTAGAAACAGGCTGGACTGGACAGCAGAGTCCCCAACACCCAGCCTAGTTGTTCCGAAAGTTTTAACGGTAGAACATGGGCAGTGGTCTGTGTGTGGCAGGGGCCACAACCATGGATTTCAGTCACTGAAGGGATGAGATGGAGGTGGACAAAAATTGGGGGACTTACCAAACTATAATGCTCTTCCTCTGAGTGCTTCTGTTGAGGGACAAAAAAATCTACAGCAAACGTGAGGACCCGGCAGATGGAGGGAGGTTGAGGAGAGCAGAGGCCAAAGCAGAGCGTGGCCCCAGGCTGCGGGCAGATGGCCGGGACACAGCCTCCACATGGACGCACAGAATGCCCGGACCTGCGTGCCTAGGGCCTCACTCCGGGAACGCCTGCCCAGTCTCACCTTATGGACGTTCTCACGGGCAGAACTGAATTCCTAAGCCTGCTCACTTTCCTTTATCATCCCCTGTACAGAGATGATGCTTCCACGTTTCCAGGTGACAATTTAAAAGCTAAAATCCCTACACACACTCCCTCAATCATCCTGAAACAGTAGCCTTCCCCGAAGTGGATTTGTCTCGACAGATCTCAGCTCAGAGCAGACTTCCTGGTGGGGAACGTGCAAGCGTGTGTGGCGCCTGGCCCTGCCCTGAGCACATGCCCAGCGGGGCTCTGTGTGTCTGGGGGGCTTTGTTATTTTAAGCTTCCTTCAAGAGCTCAGCATCACATGGTGCTCTGGAAAGAGTTCAGGTGTAGGGAGTGCAGCCCGAGGTCCGAGGAAGGGGCCGAGCAGCGGTCGGATGGGAGGGGTGGATGCCAAATTGTGGCATCATCAGGAATCCCGGGTTCCTGCTGTCGGTGAGCAAAGAGGTCCCCTACCATCACCTCCTTCTCACTCGGGCTCCCTGGAGCTCAGGGTGTCGGAGAGCAGAGAGTAGCTTCCGTTGCCCCGTCGGGCATGGACAGCCCTTGCCTTGCACTCACCAAAAGCTGTGCCCACCTGAGTCAGGAAGGCCCCCGCGTCACCTCCAAAAACATTAAGGTAATGAGATGGATGAGCGGGGTGATGGGCGGAGAGAAGTGTGCCTTCCAGCGCCATGCAGGTGAGCCCCAGGAACCTGGCAACGCCAGTGGCAGGCGTGTGCAGTCTCTACATGTGCCGAAGCTTTGGGGGGCAAATGACAAAACCAAAACCCAAACCAAAAATCGGACTTTCCCATGGGGCGAGCAATTCCAAACAACACAGACCTAGCACTACAGTTTCTTCCTTCCCTGGCATCGCTTTGGTCTCCCAGATCCCAAGAGGTGCAGAACTATGTTTAAAGGTGTTGTAGAGGGAGACTGAGCCCGATGGAAGAAAGAGGTCACCAACCTGGCCAGTCAGTGGGCACAAGGTTTGCTGCCCACCTGACCTTCAACCTTTCGACGTGGTCTGCAGGGCATTTCACGAGATGGGCTCCCACACCCTCCTGGTGAAATCAAAGTCACACGTGGGCCATTCATAGAAGGCAGGCCGCAAGCACCTAATCTGGGATCCCTGTGAGGAGAAAACAGCGTCCGACGGAGCCTCTCATCCCTCACAGTGCCCCCTATACATGGCATGATGGGGTACCAGGGCGCCATTATGTGGCCGGGATTAGGAGGGAACTGCCCGCCCCAGACATGGCAGCATTTCTAATGAAGTATGTGTGGTTGGGATTTCCTGTCCCGAGGCTTCAGCCTCGAGCCCCTATTTCCACTGGAAAACCCCACTGTAGGATTCTTGATGGCAAAAACACAGATGTTGACCAACCAGCACCAGCGAGAGACAGCATCTTTGCTACAGTCCCCACCAAGATTCAAAGCCAGGCTTGGGTTCTAGAAAGAGCAGCGACTTGTCCAGCAACGTGTGTGAGACAAATGTGGAACACGCTATAGGGCACAGCTCCTGTGGGAGTAGCCTGGATCCTTTGCACGCGGAATTATTTCTCATTCTCAAACGAACGGGGGCCCTTGTGTATTTTTGAGTTCTGTTCTGACATACGCACACACATTATAAGGATATATTCCTTTAATTTTTGGAACTGGAAAACTTTCTTTAATTCGGTCTATGCTTGTAGAACACAAAGATGGTCAAGAATCCACCACCCACCCAAGCTGACGCTCAGCCCCATTTGTAAGCAGCCGGCTATATAAATGTGTGCGTGGCTGTTAGGTAGCTTCCTCAAACGATTAAATGAAAAAAAAAAAAAAGATCGTATTTATGTGTCTCTCTCTCTATATATATGTATGTATATAAAACCATGGCATTCTTAATTCTGGCCCAAGATAATAAAGTATACATTTAGTGCCACTCACCAAATACCAGCGAATGCAGGATGTGTCATTGAGGGGTCTGTTTGCGTGGGTCCAGGCTGTCCCCCAGGATGCATGGTAATGGGATACCAGGTCACCAGAAGGAATATGCTCACTCGTGGAACTGCATTTCCAATATACGCATATATGTGTGTGTGTGTGTGCGTGTGTGTTCCTGTGTGTGCGGTATGTTGCCAAAGTAGAAAACACCAGTTTATTCTGTTCATACTAAGCATGTTAAATAAATCAGATTCTGTAACCGATAGCATTTTTTTTTAAAAAGGAACATTGAAGATCTTCAAAAATTGCTACAGTACAAAAAAAGTGTGTGTGTGTGTCTGTGTGTATTTATATATTTATATATGTATATTAACCAGAAATAGCGACTCTATTGGAAGATTCCCACCCACTGTTTTCGGTAAGATTTCTACGCGTGGTTCGCTTGGCTTCGCCTTGGTCACCAAGTCCTTCGGGTCAGTACATGGCACATAATGGTATTATTGGCAAAGGTTCAGAATCAGTTCAAATCCCAGGCTCCAGGTGCTTCCTGCTGGCCTTTCTTCTCTGTCTCCAGCTTCTTTCTTGCTTTTCTTCTTTCTGCTCTCCAAAGACAACTCTGGCAGAAGGCAGTCCCCCATAGGCGTGAGCATTTTTATAAAAATATATTTGGCCTATAGCGTCCTGCTCTTTGAGCTCCCCACCGGCAAACTGAAGCGGTAGGTATGGGGACCCTCCCCGTAGAGAGTTTAGTTTTAAGTTTTGTTGTGTGTGTGTGTGTTTTAATTTTTTTTAAATTTTATTTATTTATTTTTTTTACAGGTTCACCAACGGAATCCTGTGTGGAAAGAAAACAAGAAGAGATTAAATAGCAGGGAGCCACGGGCAGGATGATCTGTACAGCCCCTCTGAGCCTTGCTGGCTTGCAGACACCGGGGTCTCCTGCCCTGGGCACCGGGGATCGGAGCACATGCTAGGAGTCCCAGGGACCTCGTGCTAATCACAGTAGTTGATGGAGGAGCTGTTGCTTCTGCCCAGAGTGGGTCTGGGCTTCCTAAGAGGGGCTGGGACCACCCCTGCATTAACTACGAGAGGGCCGTGCACCGCAAGCCTGCAAGTGACTGCATGCGTCCAGTGCCAGGCTGACCCCCTTTTCAGCTCCTACCCACCAGGAGCAGAAGTGCCGCCCACCCCATTCCTGGATGGTGGGAAGCAATGGGGTCCATTTCAACCCACTGCTCAGCTGGAGGCTCACTGAGGCTGGGACTTGGGGAGATTGACCGGTTGCATCAGAAAAACTGACCCCTCGCGGTCTACCCAAGAGGTGATCTTGCTGAAGAAAGACAGAAGGCGAGTGCTTGCAAGCCAAGTCAGCTGACTGCAAAGAAGGGTGGCTCTTCCCAACCTGGGCATACCTAGCCTCAGAAAGTAGAAACCCCAGAGTCTTCCCGCCTCAGTGACAGACCCCAGAGGTCAGCATCTCCTAGAGACTCAGAGACCTGCGGCTGTTCTGGGCATGGCCAGGGGCGTTGGAACACACCATGGCTCAGCCTGGAGGCGCTTCTGCTGGAAGGATGGGGCACTGTTTCTCTCTGCTGTCACTTGGAGCCCCCCCCCAGCCCACAACTACAGGAAACGAGGACCCTCAGACAGTACAAAGGGGGGGACGCTGCACCCTCATCTATGCCGGTGAGACAACTAGACGGGGGACAATAATTCCAAAATGAAACCCAGAGGCCGTGGGCTGGAGCTCTGGCAAGTCCGCGGGGGCTCCCGGCCCCACTGGACTGGCCCTGTCCTAGTCACCTGCTGAGCACTTCGGAAACACACAGGCCTGCACCCACCTCCAGAGGCCCAGACGCAGGTCCTCAGGGTAGGGCCTGTGGATACAGGTTTCTACAAGCTCCCCAGGAGACTCTGATCCTGTGCCGGGCCTGGGCCCATTACCTCTGTCTCAACAGCCGAGGGGGTAGTGTGCTTTGTCCTGAATTGAATAAGCCTGCGGGGCGATCCTCCCCGGGACTGGGGGCTGCAGGGCGCCCAGGCTCGGGGAGGCGGGAGGCTGCAGGCCAGCATCCTGCTCGGCACCGTCTGCACCAGGAGCTTAAGCACGGACATTCTCCTCCACTTGGGCTGGGCGTGGAGGAGAATGTTTCCTCTCCGGGAGCCCTCCTGATCTGGACAACAAGGCAGGGCCCCTGGCTGCCACCTCACCTTAACTTCTACCTCTGTATGACACATTTGAGCAACCCCAGGAGGCCTAAAATGGAACATCTACTCATCTCCCGAGGGACTGCACGCTCTGCTGTAGGCAGGGTGTCATCTCGTGTGAAGAAATAGGACATCTGGTCAGGTGGGTGCTGGACCACCCTCGGCAGCTTCACTCCCACGGTGCCCTGCCCCTGCTCACCTCCACTTTCTAGGATGGGGTGGGGGTGGTTTAAAAAACGAAGCCATTAAAGAGGAGAGTAATGTCCCTCCTGTATGTCTGCCCTCATTCTAATTTTTGGAAAGCTAAAAAATGTGGAGACAAATGCTCCATGACTCCACTCATACGAGGAGTCAAGTGCAGAAAGCCTGAGAGGAGAAGGGGGCTCCAGGGGCTGGGGGAGGGGGTCAGAGGGGGTCGGTGTTTCATGGGGGCAGAGTTCCAGTTTGGGATGATGTGGAGGTTCTGGAGACAGGTGGTGGTGAGGGATGCACAATGTTGTCAATGTGCCTGATGCCACAGAACTGCACTGTTAAAAACAGTGGAAATGGTCCATTCTGTGTCAGGTACATGTTACCGCAATTTTAAATTTAAAAAATATACATAAAAAAAAATATGGGGACATGAAAGACAGTGCCTGGTGACCGCGGGCCCAGGTCTGGCAGCCTGGGACCCTCTCTGGTTTGAGCAGCGCCCCCTCCTCGCTGGCATGAGGGTGCTGGGTTGGAGCACCTGTCAGACGGCTGCCCCCTCACGAGGGGAGGTTTCCTGCGAGGGCCGCTGCAGGGCTGCCGTCAGGTCCTTTATTCTGACGGTAACCAGACCGATGGGGGTGACAGGTGCCGCCTCGTTCCTTCCCCCGTGCCCGCCATTGTATGGTGGGTCTTCCGTATGGAGTTTATGCAGCCACTGTCCCACCTCACGTCTTCAGTGCTTCTGACCCCAGACAAGGTCCTGCCTCCTCGTTCCATGTTCTTCGAGTGCCTGCAGACGGTCACCTCCCTGGGGAGGCCTTCCTGGACAGCCCCTCCTCTCCTAAATGCCATCTCTAGTTCATCTTTGTCTATTCGAGCTCGCTCTTGTGGGACTTTGCAAGTACAGGACGAGCCACGTGGGCTCTCCTGAGTGTGTGCACGCCATGTGTCATTGCAGGTGTCACGGGGTGCCTGCTAGGTCCACCGAGGCTCCAGCTCTGTGCCTGGCCCGGAGTGGACCATCAGTCCTGGACGCAGCTCAGGGAAGAGACATCTGTGTGGGAGTAGCCTCGTCCTTGGCCCCGAGACTCATGACCTTCAGGTGCTGCCTGCAGGTGGGTTCTGACTACTGCATCCGAGGACACACGGAGGGGCCCTTGTGCTGCTGGGGATAGAGCCTCTTCCAAACCTACCGGCGTCTGTCTCAGGACGAGAGAGGCAGAGAGAGAGGGGCAGGGAGATGGCTCCACTCTGTGCCCTGCATTCCACCTGAGCAGCAATGTTGGCTTCCTGCAGAGGTGGATGGGTTCCCTGCAAAGGGTTCCGGCAAGGGCGGCATCACCCCATCAGGCCGGGAGAAGGGGCGTGAGGCTCCCCGCGGCCACCTTCCACGTCTGCCCCACGTTCCTGCTGCTGGCACTCAGCTCACGGGAGGACTTCGGCTTTCTGTTCCCAAGGCTCGGTGTGTGACCCTCTCAGCTGGGCACTAACCCTGAGAGGGACCTGAGAGGGCCGTGCATCCCAGGCCAATGGGAAAGACGGCCAAGGAGCATGCCCCTCCACGTCCTGGCTGGAGACACATGGCAAGAGCATCCACACCTGGTTCCCGGCCAGAAAGGGAAGCAGCGTGTTGCCAAGTGATCTGAGAGATTGGGACCTGGGATGAATTCTGACTTTGGAGAAACTAGTGCCCTCTGCTGCCTGGAAGGAGATTCTGAGCTTTGCCTGGCCCCACCAGCGGCAGACCACGCGGCAGGCCCAGGCTCAGAGCTCAGTGTCTGCTTTTGCAAAACAAGGAACGGACCCTGGCAAGAGCACCCCAGAGCCAGTGGCTGCTAGTCAATTTCTCCTCTCCTGCGTCCTGAAAGGGGTACTTTGCCCCCAAGTTTGCCTTGCTGCTGGTGCTTGGCTAAAACAGACCAGTTTGCAGCACGGTCTGCACGTTGCTTTGAAAACAGTGTTCCTCTGAATTGCAAAAGCTGGGTATTCTGTTAATGTATTTTTTTTTTTTTTTTTTTTTAGAACAAAGCGGGAAGGCTCAGGTGCATTTCTCGGTTTTTATTAGTTACGTCTTCAGTGTGTTTTTGAAAATAATAATAATACATGATTTATTTCTTACTGGCTTCAGATGCGAGAACTTTTATTACTTTTCGGGCTCTCTTGGGAATAAAATGGCCTTGGCAAATGCAAAGATCTGAACACTAATGAGGTTTTTCTGAAGTTTACTTGTTATATGAAAAATGACAGGAAATTAGCCCAAGAGCCAAGGGCAGGCGTGTGTCCTTGGCCCCTTTCCTCAGTGGGCGGGAAGGTCAGGACAACTGGGTGCCACCGTGGAGGTGGTCTGAGGCAGGAATTTGCCAGAATCGACTATAGAGGCCGAATCAGGGAGACAGGGTGAACATCTGCCCAGACGCGGGTGCCTGTGTCTGGGACAACCTGCCCGCAGGGCAGCGAATTTGGCCACTTTTGGGTCCCACGTGTGCATGGGGGTTAGCACGAGTGGACAAGACGGTGCGGTAACAAACTGCTCTGTCATCATTACAAATGCATTTGGAGAGGCTCAGCAACTATGGCAAGAGAGAAATATCTCCACCAGCTCTTAAACCTTAATTAAATGTTTTAGTATTAATTGCTATTTATTTAAGGGACAGTAAGTACCTTAGTAAATCTGAGTGATCTTCCTGGCCATTCTCTGCTCGATGCTCATGTCCAGGCATTAAGTGCAAGAATCAGGGATACTTAGAATCCGAATACTTTCCTCCTAGTGAGTGATAAACAGTCTGTATGGCACATGGTGAAGGAATCTTTAAGTATTTATCAAAGGCTAACAAGACTGTTTGCGGAGCCCTCCTGGTCTGCGTCTGCGGGAACAGGCGCCAGGTGTGGCGGCTACGCATGGCCGGACTCAGAGGAGGTCCTGTCTCGGCTCTTCTCACCTCCCCAGACGGCCTGCCTGGGGTCCACAGTGAGCGGGTCAAGCTCTTCGGACACAGATGTGTCCCTTCCTGCGAATGGAGGTGGTCCTGAGATAGTTCCTAGGCAGGTGGGGGTCCAGACACCCTGAGAGGAACGTGGTCCAGGCAGGGCCCACCTGGGAGTGGCAGACGGGGTGAGCCCACAAACCCTGAGTTGCTAGAAGAGAGAACTGAGACAGAAAAGCTTTCTGGAGCACAGGAATCCATAAAAGCACTTTTCTACTATTTTTTTTTAAGTCAGGGCTGCGACTCCTGGTTCCAGTGTGGGTGAGGAAGCTGGTGGCTCAGGCTGTTGGGCGCTCAGAAGCTGGTCTCCCATCTGCAGAACTGAGCTGAACGTCCCAGGACGCCAGTTTGCTGGAAAGCCCACCTCCAGCTGCACCGACTCTCCTCCCACTTGGGGCCGGGCTGGGGGTGGCACAGGGGGCAGAGGGATAGCGCGGGGGGGGGGCTGCAACCGAGAAAGAGCCAGGCCGCCTTGGGCTGACCTGCCCCACCACGAGCAACCTGACTGACCCCAGGTACGTCACTTAACTGCTTCGTGCCTCAGTTTCCCCTCTGTAAAGTGGCATTTCTGGGAGGACACTGTGAGTCCCTAGATGTCAAGAGTGCCCCATAAGTGTCCCCCTGAAAGTCCACCTCAGGGAACCTGCCCTCCAGCCCCCGCTGGCGGCGGGGGAGCTCCCTGGAGTGAAGAGCATGCCCACCTCCAGGCTGTGAGCCTTCAGCTCTTGAAGGAAGGGAGCAGAACCCTTGACGTGCAGCGCCAGATCAATGTCTTATGTTTTTATGCATTTTTAAAATCCTAACAGGGATACTGGCGACCACCGGGCCATCCTGCAGAGGGTTCACCAGGCAGGCGGGAACTCCGCTGCTAATAAGAAGCTCCCTGTTGCTAGCCTGGTTGGAACTCCAAAGGGAGCTCTGTCCCTGGCCTTAATGAGGTGAGTCACACTGAGGCAGACAAAGGCACCAGGTTCTGATGGATGGGCCATGCAGGCGCATCTGGCCCTTGAATGGTCGGGGACAGAGTGTGACTTACCTAACTTGCCTGCACAGTCTCAACAAAGGCCTTTTGTGGGGGTAGGGAGGAGGGCTTTCCATTCTCGTCTAATCACATTTCTTTGCCCGATGGCTGAATATCGTGCTAAGCAGGTCATTTTGGCTGCAGGACAGGAAGCAAGGGCTGGAGATTTGATTTGGAGCAAACACTTGATTCATTAGGGCTGGATTAGGACCGACCCATTCACTCCTATTTCTGAAAGCTGTGGGTTCCTCCAGCCCCTGGCTTTGTGCTGCGAGCCGAGCCCCCCAAGGGGCACACAGACGCCCCCAGGAAACACCTCCCACCCACTCTGACGATGATTCCTGCCTCAGAAGGTGGGCAGAAGGAAGAAGCAAGTATTTTCAAATATCAATAACCCAAACTAGAACCTGGGTTCCCTACTCAGGGAAGGGATCTGATGTCACAGAGTATCTGTGTTTGAGAAAAAAATGAGGATCCTTAGAAAACCCAACATCAAAAAGAAAAACAAGACCAAAAACCCCAAAGTCCGGGTTGCATCTATTGACTGTGTGTAGACAATGTGCAGTCATGGGGGCAAAATGCACTTTCTCCCCCAGCAGCCCGAGTGTTCGGGAGACTCGGTGCAGAAGAGAGCAATTTACCGTTAGCATTAAAGTTAGTATCACTGAAAGCAAACCAAATGTTCCTATTCAGCAGAGCGTGGAAAATTCATCCTGTTTTGGTGCTGGTCCCTGGCTTCAAATTAGCAGATGTCTCAACTCTTTGCTTCCTTCTTTTATCTTTTTCCTTCTTATCTCTTATTTTTATATTCCAAAATTGTGTTTTAATTCTGCTTCGAGCCCTCTCTCCACCTGCTCCCCCCCCCCCCCGATGTAGAGACATCCGATGCAGGTGTGATGCCTGCCCGCGTAGCCGCTGCCCTGGTCCCTGTCTGTCGAGAGGCCGGGTTTCCTTGCCGGCTGGGGCCTTCCCTGGGGCTGGGACGGCGCTGCCACTCCTGGGTGTCTGTCCCTCCCGCCACGGGGGCATTTCTAACAAGTGCAGCAGAGAGACCACAAGCCCAGCGCTCCTGGCTCGCATTCGGGATGGCAACGCCATTGGAATTCCACCTGCCATGTCTAGAAGGGCTCCCAGTTGTCCCAGAGTGGAGGCAGGGGCGGGGAAGGTGAGCCAAAGGGGGGGAAAAATCGATCGATGTCCAAAAAAAGAGGTACGTACCATAAAACAGACACATGGCGTCTGCCCTGCCCCCAGGAGGTAAACAAGACTTCGGCCAGTCAGCAGGAGATTTCAAACCATTTCTCAGACACAAAGGCCACAGGAATCAGATGCCGATCAGAAGGAGAGGGTCTGCAGCGAGCAGAAAAATGGGCTTGCGGGCACTCGTACAGAACACCCGACGAGCAGGCCGCCCAAGGCCTACCGCCGGAAACTGGCTTCTTGAGTCGAAAAGAACGCAGAAAGGTAATGCTCAGCTGGGACCCACTGGCCTTCAGCAGGAAGGGGCCCCCTCTCCCTGTGGCCAGCTAACACTCACGTCCACCCTGGGAGGCCCTGGAGGACACAGAGCCTGAAGGAGCCGTGCACAGAAGACATTTCAGCTTTTAGTTTTTTAATTTGCGGGATAAGCCCAAAGCTTGGGGTCTCCCCCTCCAAGGGCAAAGATTCCACCCACTTTACGGCACCTGATGGAGTGGGCAGGGCCTGACTCCTGAAATGGGTCTTCCGTCATTTGTCACCTTTGAGACCTAAGTTACCATTTCCAAAGGCCAGGGAGAGCCAACAGAGCATTGCCTTAGGCCAAAAAGCAAGAACCCGTTCCATCCAAAGCCTCCGAGCCAGGGCTCAGTGTGCCCACCTTGCAGCTGCACCCACCTTGCACGTGGACAGGGCACGGCCAAAGGGGGACCAGTGGGAACAGTGATGGTCACTTGGCAACCCACCCCCCGTTCCCCAAACTGAAACACTCGTTGGCCAGCACTCATATCCAAACCAACACACATGCGTTCAGTGAAATGGTTTGAAAATCCTCTTGCCAATTCTTTGTGAATTAGGCCTTCTGGAAGGCTGTGATGCAACCGGGGAGCTCCCCAAATGTCGTTGAGTCAAAGCAGCGTGGGCTGCAAGCACAGTCCTGAGGCCCCTGCCCTCTACTCTCCTGGGCTGGGAAGGGAGCATCTCAGGGAGTATCGTGGAGTCCAACACAGAGATGCAAGAGGAGGAGCTTAAGGAAGTTCTCCCCGTTCTCACAGCCAGGATGAGGACCGGTTAACTATGAGCAGCACAGCTAAACGTCACCCCGAGTCTCCTCGACCTGGGTTCTGGAAGGAACGCTTTCGGGCCCCCTGGGCGTTCACAGCTACTCCTGCCGCTGACAGTGGGTCCCTCGGGTCCTCCTGGTTTCCTACTCATTTCTTCCTAAGATGTTTAAGTGGTTGGAGATTTTTTTTTTTTTAATTTACAAAATGATGCATATGTGCATGCTCACTTAAAAAAAATAGCTTATTGATATTTTAATCTAATTCCGGATAAACCCTCGGAAGCTGACTCGAGGGCTTCTTAAATGTTCCCAGGGATGGTTTTAGGGTCACGTCTTCTTGGAAGGATTACCCATGATAAATAAAAAAGAGCATTGAATAACCAGGACTCTGGTTGGTATTTGATATTTTTGCAAGATGCGCTGCTGACATTTTATTGATAGGCATTCAGAGAGACTGACGGGGAGTGTGTTGATATCAGGAGACCCGGTGCCGCAAAGCCAGCCAGGATGCCTGCTCAGCCCCCAGCACACGGCATCCAGGGTGGGGAGGGCCTTCTGCCCATCTGCAAGGGTGCGGTCTGGAAGCGAGCAGGGCTGCTGCTGGGTTCTGTCTCTGGGTGGTGAAACACCTCCTTCCGTCTAGCCTGCCCCTCCCGTTTCCCCAGACCAGCTGCGTGCATTTGCTCGGCCCCCCAAAGACATGTGAAGGGTGCCCCCACCCCAGGTCGACGATGCTGTGGCGGCAGGGCCCGGCCCAGGCCTGAGCTTACCGGTTCCCGTTAAACGTGGATTTGTAGTCGGCTGTCGGGTGCAGCGTCTCGTCGGTGTACACGGGCACGGACGCCCGGACACACTCGTGGGAGCACTGGAGGGTCTCATTATAGGCTGTGAATATGTCCAGGCTGCTGGGCACCCGGGCAGGGGTGAAGTCCGTCAGGTTCTGGCAGCTCTCCTCCTGCTGGTTGATCTTCCGCTGGTGGCTCTTCCGACGCGTGTTCCCGCTTTGGGCACAGCTGGAAGACAGAGGAGTCGGGGTGGGGGTGCGGCGGGCAGATGCCGAAAGCCAGCACTCAGACTACGGAGCCTTAGCCTCCGGGCATGAATTATCCGTCATTTAATATTAGAGGGTAATTCCCAGCCTCTTCAGAAAGATCAACCACAATCAAACAATCAGCTCACTCTCTCTGTCTTTTTTTTGGTTAATAAAATTTGAATTTTAAATGTGGCCATTACTGCAGGGCAGATGATGAGATAAGTTTCTGAGCTGCGTTATTCCAGAGCTGAGGCCTTGTCTGGCTGAAGGGTGTCTGCCAGGCAGGGGTGCCGACTCGGTTTCCCCATGAAGGGATGAGTACAGGTGCGGCTGGTCTGGTGGTTCATTCTGGAAGGGACTATGTAACCATCTTTGGGGAGAATTATTAAGTGGGGAGCCCTGCGTCCTCAGCCCTGCCCCTGCCCACACTCCCAAGTTGGAAACGAATGTGGACCGTCCATTCTTCACGGGTATCAGGTCTATGGAGAGAACTGTTCTGAATGCCCCATGGACCCTGTCCTGTTCCTCTGGACCACAGAGCCTTCCCAGCGCCACCAAGGATGGACACGGGAGTCCCACCCTTGTCAGCCAAGCGGTTTGGGGGAGCAGACCATTGGTGACCTCTCCCAGGCACTTCCGGCAAATCACAAGAAGGATAAGTGGAAGTCCCATCCCCATGGAGGAGGGCAGCTAGGAGGAAATCTGGGGAGCCCCCAGTTTGGGGAACCAGTTCCCCTTCTCCCCCTCCCTGCTGTGCTCAGAGCCAATGCGGAAGGAAGTGGCTGTGAGGGGTGAGGGTCCATGAGCCCATCTTCCTGTAAGTCACGAACATGCCCTGTCTCATCTTTCCAGTGAGAGGAGCCCTGGTTCCTGGTGGAGAAGCCCCATCCCATAAACAAAGGTTGGAAGATAAATGCAAACCCAGGGGACTCCCCTCAAGGTCATGGAACCCCCTCATCCACTGCCTGGGTTGTCCTCCCCAGAAGAACTTTCTGAGGCTTCGCTGCAAACCCAAATGTGGGAAACCACAGCCTCCTCCTTCTCCTGTGGGGGCCGTCAAGATGGTCAATGGAATTTGTCCAGCCACAAATCCATGTGGTCCTGGGCTCCAGACCAGGACCAGCCCCTGCCCAAGATGCCCTGTGGCGAGCTGAGAGTCATCCTCATCAGCTGTCACAGAAAACGCCCTGGGTCTCGGGTTTGCTGGCTTTCGGGGGGCCTCGCTGGTTTGCTGTGACGTCCCACCCTGCCACCTTTGCTAACCCTGGAGACTGGCTTTCTCTCGGATTTCCGTTGTCTAGACCCTCGGGAGTAGTTGCTACCCATCAGCCCCATTTGACCTCCTGTCACCCCACCTGCTGGCAACAGGGGCACCATTTGGGTGTATTACCCTACAAGGGAGTTCGAGCTTTGATGCTAAAAGGAGACACATTTGCTGGAGGAGGGGCTGCAGGCAGATGGGGCCTGGGAGGTGTGTGTGCAGCAGGGTCACCCAGGAGTGCCCCGATTTTCCCAGGGGTGTAGCAGGTGTGTTCACCTAGCAAGGCCAACCTCAAAGTAGGCCAGTTTCCAGGAGGAAATAGGCAAAAACAGGCTGCCTGGAGCAAAGCAATAACCTAGTTCAGCAGACACAGAGCGGCCACAAGAGGAAGGAAGGATTCAAAGTGGTGAGCGGAGCACGGCCCCTGGACAGCCAGGGGCAGCGAGGGGTGGGCGCGAACCTGCCCAGGCTGCTGGCGTGCTGGGTGGGCGGCATCGAAAGGCACACTTGAATGCAGACACAGGCTTCGGAAACCCCAACACCTGCTGCCTGAGAAACTGTCATGGAGGCCGGGCTCACTTGCATTCTGCAGAGAAAGCCACGGTCAGGGGCGCACCCCCCAAGGGCAGTATCAGGGAGAGCGGCGCCTGTGGCTGGCCAAGCTGCCGTGGGGCTGAAGGTGAGCAGGCTGCATCAAGGCCAAGAGCTGCACCTGATTCTCTGGCCCAAATGAGAAAAACAATGCTCTGGGATGCGATGTGGGACCGGGTCTGAAAAGTAGGAAACCCTCTGTGCACACTTCCCGGGGGGACCCCCACAGCCCCCATGTCCAGGCCAGAGGGGCCGAGGAGCCTTACCAGTTTTTTAAGACAAGAGTTGTAATCAGAGCAGCTATGACCATGATGAGGGAGACAGTGATGGTGATAATCTGATGAACAGCCAGACCTGGAAGAGAGGAAGCGGGGGAGGGCAGCCGTGAGACCCGGGCATGAGACAGAGGAGCCCGGGAAGGGCGGGGCCTGCTCCTGTCAACTCGGGTCTCTCCTTCCCCACGGCAGGGGCTGGGCACCAGGGCTGTGGTCACCTGGAGTCCAGGAAGGGAGGCCCCAGCCCCGGCGTCTCTTGGCTCCCCAGCTGTGGCCCGGCCCATGGGCAGCTGTGGCCTTTCTTGCACCTGTCAAGCTCCTCACCTGGCCCAGGTGAGCTCTGGCTGAGGCACACCCCCCAGGACCTGTCACTCTTCCTCTGCCTCCTCCCACCTGGGTAAGTTCTCGATTCTGAGCACAGGCCTTTGAGTGGGAGCAGGTCTGGCGTGACACAGGAGGGGCCGAGGCAGCCCAGGATTTGTTGGGAAGGTAGGGGACAGTGAACATGGGTTGACCTCCTGGCAGACTCAGGGGTTACCTGGATCACTGGGGAGTACCTTCCTCTTTCCAGAGTCCTCTCCAAGATGCTCACTGCCTGATGAGGTTCCAGGAATAAAAGACCCAGGCCTAGCAGCTGATGCTACCCCAAAGCCCAGAAAAGGATCTGTGGTCTAGCCTCGCTGCCCTGTGCCCTGCTGTGTGTGCATGGGGTAGGAGGGTGCGGGGCGTAAGGAGTGGTAACAGCAAGTCAGGGACAGAAGCGGGGCAGTCTGAGCCCCACCTGAGAGCTGTCTGCTGACCCCATGCAGAGATAGCAGAGGACAGGGATTCTCTCCTATACTGTCCCTCTGTCCCCACCCCCTGTACCACCTTCCACTAACCACAGATGCAGGGGATGGGCAGCGAAGCTATGTTCCTCCTGACAACACATCTGTCACATCCTTCCTGGAACACGGACACTGGGGGCATGCCCAGCAAGTGCCACTGGTCCGTAAAAGCCACCTGCAAAGGCCCTGTCCTCCTCTGATCAGGAAGAACCCTACTGGAGGAGCTGGGCCACAAAGGTCTTGGGGGCTCTGCAGTGAGCCCTGCAGGGGGAAGCACCTCGTCCCACTGAAGTGCTAATTCCCCCTGTTCTTGCACCTGGGAGGTGTAAGCACTTGCCTCTCTCCACTCCAGGGGTCCAACTGCAGAGGCCCGCCCATCAGCCCCGAGGAACCCAGCGGGTCCTGGGGTGAGAACAAGACGCACGTGTGTGCCAGCATGGAGGATTTCAGAATGTAAGATTTTTCTGGCGTTCTCCCAAGGACACAGTCTCACAAACAGATGTTACCTCTCTACTGAATATGATCCTCGTGGGGGAAATTATTAATAAATGATTCAAAGTTGGCATGACCAGAAAACAAGCTTTCTCTTCCTGCTTGCCCATCTTCCGGGCTATTTCTGTTTGTCGTGAGGGATTCCCATCCTGAGCCCACAGGATAAGCAGCACTAGGAAAACTGGAGAAGACATGAATGTAATGGAAATCCCTTCATTTATTCTTTTATCCACTGATTCAAGAACCAGTTACAGAGCACCTACTGCATGCCAAACATTGTCAGTTTTGACGAACTCAGCCATGGTACCCCCCTTTAAGGAGCAGCTTCTCTAGTGCCCATTTTTTCACTTGATCTTAGCCAAAAGGCTGAGAAGCGATCTAGTGCCCATTTTTTAAAATGGCAGCATTCACTGTTGATTCTGGCCAATGGCTTCACATACATCTATGCCCAAGTTGTGGCACCTGCCATAAACCTCTAGGCCAGTTTGCCTTTTCATCTAAGACTGCCAAGTCAGTTTTCCCATAGGACTGACAGCTGGTTATGCCACAGGGAACACCCTCAGTCTCATCAACAATGGAGTACCCACCAGCCTCAGTAATCCCTAACTATTCAACAGCTTCCCCAACACCCAGCTCAGACCTTGTTGGCAGAGGAAGGGTTGGAAAGGATGGTGATGGTGATGGTGATGATGGTGATGGTGATGATGGTGGTGATGGGTGGTGAGTGGTGGTGATGGTGATGATGGTGATGATGGTGATCTCAGGCATGCTCAACAAGTGGTAACAATTGTCAGAGGTGCATTATCCAAATTATCCTGGTAACAACTCTCAAAGGTAGATACTATCATCATCAGTTATGGAAGTGAAAACCAAATGGACCAGTTTGTGTAAATTCCTTGGTTCACATAAGATCTGCTGGTTCAAAGCCCATACTAAGAGCAGTAGTATTATATGATTCTGAGCTCAGACTTCATTAATCTGTTTTTGCTCTGACCTTCTCTAAGCTCAGTTTTGGTCTCCTTTATTCCAAGGTAGAGGCTGGTACCTCTCCTGTCTACATTCCTGGGGGAGAGCAAGCTTCTACATCTTCTTGAGCCTCACCACCTCCTCCATGAACAGACCCCTCGGGAAGTGCTCCAGGCCCATGCCAAACACTTCTCAGCCATTCGTTGGCAGGCTGCATCCCAATCCCCATGGCAAGAACTGAGTCTTCATTCCTTGGGCTAAACCTTCCATCTTCTAGGTCAGGAGAATCCAGCTTATGGAGGCTGGCGATGTAAAAGTACACAGTGAGCGGGTGAACCAAGAGAACGGCGGGGGCTGGTTCAACTGCTAGGTCAGGCCGAGCTGAAGGCATGGAGAGCCCTGCAAGAGCAGAGTGCTGTGCCATCATTCCCCAACACCTGTTGGACCAGAGGAGGCACAGGGCACTGCTCGATTTTGACCTCTCATCTTGTTACTACGGGAATTCTGTTGGGTTGAATATCTGCATTGGCAACCGTCCTTGGAAGGGAAGAGTTCCATGACCAGCTGCATCTTAGATGTCTGATCGCCTCCCATTCCCCCCTGTGGGTGAGGATGGGAAAGCACTGATTCTCCTCCTCTGATAGATATGAGAAACTGAGGCCTGGGGGCAGAACGGTTGGCTCAAGGGACCCTCTCCCTCACTGATGACTCTGAGAATGGAAGACCAGCCCTTTGCCCGAGGGCCTCATAAGTCCCTGAGCCCCCTTAAGAAAGGGGCCTCTTCATCTTCATACCCACCCCTAGCCCCACACACACTCTAACACAGTCCCTTACAACCGTAGCTATGTGACATATTACATTTATAACTGAAAAGGAGAAAATAAAAACCAGGGGAACAGGGAGAAAGGTAATGATATAATCCTAAGGTTTGCCTTATTCTGGAGGCCCTTCTCCTGCCTTCAGTGTAGAACTCCTCCATAGAACTTACCAAATTAGATTTTGGAGAAAATTATAAGTGGGTTAATAACCAGCGAAGATCATCTGCTATGCTTTCTAGAAAGACTTCTTTATGCCAGGTACCTTGCCAAGTCTTCACATGTGATCAATCAAATCCATCACCATCCTGCACTTTTGCACCTGCCTGACTGATGAGGAGCTTGATGCTGAGGAGTAAAGTGACTTTCCCATCACCATTCGGCAGAGCCAGGATGAAAGGCAATTCTCTGCTCTGGAGCCTCAGAGAAGATCAAACATCTAACGCCAAACTAACCCATCTGTAGCTACATTCTGGTCATAAAACTAGTTAGAGGCAAACATCTGACTACTCCTCACATACTTTACTTGCAAGGCAAACAGCCTTATGCTTCAACGCCTGGCCCATGAGTTCTGATGGGCCCCTGGGCTCATGCATAAAAGATCAATAGCTACAAGAAGATCCCATAGACCCCCATGCTCATGATAGTGGAACAAAAATCAGGTCTTTTGACATGTGGCAAGAATGACACTTGTAAGAAGCAGGTTGGAAGATAGAAAATCCATAAGGATGCCTCCTCACTTCTTCTCTCCGGGAGGTTGGCTACTACGATGAGAACAGAACAGCATATGAGAAGTGGTGTCCTGTTTCAATCATCTGCCCTGTTATTTAGTCCTCCCCAAATGCCAGGAGTCCTTTCTTCTTCATCAGTGTAAATCCCTTAAGTCTTCGCATGGATGCTGGGTAGGCAAACCTTGCCATGAAGGGCCAGAGAGTAAATATTTTAGGCTTTGTGGGCAGTATGGTCTCTGTCGCAACTTCCCCGTCAGGCCGTCACAGGGCAAGAGCGGACAAGGATAATATGCAAGCAAACGGGTGTGGCTATGTTCCAATAAAACTTTATTTACAAAAACAGAGAGCAGCCAAATTTGGCTCATAGGTTATAGTTTGCTGGCCTCTAATTTATGTGAACAGCTGAGGGTGGTTTGTCTTATAAATTAAATAGAATATATATCTATTTTGAAAGATTGGTTAAAGCTGGGACTCAAGCTGCAATCCTTTGGTTCTGAAGACTAGAACCTTCACACTCCATCATCAAAGGCTTCCCAAGTTCTGAGAATTTCACTGGCCACTGCCAAGGTGATTTCAAAGACAGCCACAGCCTCCACCTTAGCAAGCTGGACCATAACAGTCAGCCATAGGCAGCTTCGCCCTGCCGGGTTTGTCCACGTGAGGTTGGCTTGGGAATAGATCACTTTGTGTGACATTTTCCTCGAGAACTCAATTAGACAGATTCTTGATTTTTGGAAACCAAACTCCAGGGAGAATTTTATCAATTTAGTCCCTCCAGGGACCCAAAGAATTATTTCAGCCACATGTCTTTCAATTTTCTCCATTAAGGCTGAAAAGGAGCTGCATTTTGCAAAAAGACAAGGACATTCAGATCTCAGAACTGGTGTGTCAAGCTACTGGGTTTCCCTGCCCCACGCAAATGGCAGGGTTCTTAGGAGGTTATCCCCCTCAAATTCTCTCCTTCCTCACTAATTTCTGCCATATTACTCACCCCTTAAGTAGTGCTCCCCTCAGGCCAGGTCCCTTGTGGACATTAAATAGTGCAGGTAGGAACATCTGTCCTGCAAATCCTACTGACCCCAGGCAAGAAAATCCTTGAACAGTGTCTACTCCAGCTGTCAGGCAGGCTGTGATCCGGTGAACGACGATGTCACCTGAAGGGAAGATACACTCTATACACCCGAGAAAGGGAAGAAAACACAAACTTTCTCCTCTCCATTTACAAGGTCAATATTGAATCCATCTTCA